ATAACCTCACAATAGCCAACATCTATTCTACAGATGAGAAACTGAAAACCAGAGACGATACATAACCTTTCCCTGGTCACACAGCTAATACATGGTGGAATGAGAATTTGAACCAAAATTTCATTGCTGGCAAATAATGCATTCTTTCCAAAAATATCAAGGTAACTTTTTAAATTACAAAAATGAACTTTATTCATATATAGAAAACTCTCTGAAGGTAATAACTCTGATTATCCAATATTCTTTGTATAACATCTATTAAATTAAATGATTAAAGATTTTATTTTAGATAACGATGATCTGGAAAATATTAATACCTTTTTTGGCATCCTCTAATTTTTGCAAAGCAAATCGAGCAGCACCTCGTCTTGCATAAGCCTTTGTATAACTCCTATTCAAGGCAATTGCTAAACTACAATCAGACTCAGCAACAGCAAACCTGCAATTAAAAAAGAAATTAAAGTGACGTTAATAAAAATCATTTGTTAACTAAAACTTCAAAATTTGTTTCTGAAATCCCCAAAAAAGGGATTAATTTCCCAACTGAAGGGATATTTCCCACCTCCTTTTACTTAGTTAAGCCTATTAAAAGCAATAATGTTTTACAGTAAAATGTTAAGTAGCAGTACCTTTAAGGCAAAGAACACTGTTTTCTCAGTATTGTATTATAGGTCCTGGTCAATATAGTTCCATAAGAAAGACAGCTAAAAAGACTGAAAAGGAAGGAACAAAACTGATATTTTTAGATGATATGATGGTATACCTAGAAAACTTAAAATAATCTAGAGACATTGTTAGAAATAACAAAGTTAAGCAAGGTGGCTACCTTAGTAGAGATCAGCAACAAAAAACAAATCTAACTAAGGATGTACAAGTGCCAAACCAGAACACTACAAGACTGTCTTTAAAAATATTAAAAAAAAACTTAAGCGGAGGTATTTCACATTCATCTATAAGGCACAAAAACATAACTATAATTCTCTCCAAACTAATCTATAAATACAAAGCAATTGTAAGAAAAATCCCAACATAATTTTTCAAGAAATTTGACAAGATGATCCTAAATTTATATTGATAAGCAAAAATCCAAGAACATCCAACACCTTCCTGAAGAATAAGGCAGGATAACATGCCCTATACCACCAAGACTTAAAATTATAATGCTATAGTAATTAAAGATAGTGTGGAATGGAGTTAGTAAGAGGCAACAGATCAATGTAAGAATAGAGGGATGAGAAAGAGATCCATGCAAACTTGAGATATGACATGGTAGCACTGCAGATCCATGGGGAAAGCATGGATATTCAATAAATAGGGCTGGAACAATTGGGATATTCATATGAAAAGATATGAAATTGGAATTCTACCTTCAGCATATTTAAAAAAGTTTAAATGTGAAACGTAAGACATAAAAACTTCAGAACACAGGAGATTATAAACTCAGGGAAGGAAACTATATTAACAAATCATATTTTTAAAAGTGCTAACATTTTTTAAAAATACATTAAAATTATGAATTTCCATTTATCAAGACTCCATAAAGGAAATAAGCTACAAATTAGAAGATAATTAATTACTACAAGCAAGCACTAGAGAATTAGTACCTAGAATAAAGTAAAAATTAATAGCAAAACAGCCTAACAGAAAAATGGCCAAAAGACAAAACAAGCATTTCACAGAAAATACAAGTGGTAAATAATCATATAAGATGCTCAGCCTCATTAGAAACTGGGGAAATGCAAATTAAGACCACAATGAATTACCATTTTACAACTCCTTGACTGAAAACAATTAAGAAGCCCTATTATATCAGTACTAGAGGCCCGGTGCACAAAATTCGTGCACTGGGGAGGGGGATTCCTCAGCCCAGCCTGCGCCCTCTTGCAGTCTGGGACCCCTCACTCCTTACCGCCTGCCTGCTCACTGCTCCTTACCACTAAGTTCGCTGCTCCTTGGTGCTGCCGCGGAGGTGGGAGAGGCTCCCACCACCGTCGCTGCGCTCACCAGCCATGAGCCCGGCTTCTGGATGAGCAGCACTCCCCCTGTGGGAGCGCACTGACCACCAGGGGGAAGCTCCTGCGTTGAGCATATGCCCCCTGGTGGTCAGTGCACATCATAGTGACCGGTCATCTTGGTCATTCTGCAATAAAGGTTGCTTAGGCTTTTATTATATAGATTGGTAAAGATACAGAACAGGACTTGAGGTGGTGAACGCACAATACAACAACACAGAGATGTCTTATAGAATTGTACACCTGAAATCTGTATTTTTATTAACCAACTAGAGGCCTGTTGCACGAAAAGATTCGTGCAATAGGCCTTCCCTTCCCCTGGCAGCCGGGACCCAGGCCTTCGCTCCAGCCGGAGCCGCCTTCAAGCCTTCGCTGCTCCGGCCGGAGCTGCCTTCAGTCTTCGCTCTGCCTCTTCGCACCTACGTATGCAAATTAACCGCCATCTTTGTTGGTGGTTAATTTGCATAGCTCGCTGATTAGCCAATGGGAGGTGTAGCAAAGGTACGGTCAATTACCATGTTTGTCTATTATTAGATAGGATGTCACCCCCAATAAATTCAATAAAAAAAGTAAAAAAAAAAAAAAAAGGATATGGAACAGGCATTCTTATACACTGCTAATGGGAACTGTAACCTTGTACAACTACTTTTATAACAAATGGTCATGACCATTTTTTTAAAAATACATTTTATTGATTTTAGAGAGAACGGGAGAGGGAGAGAGAAATAGAAACATCAATGATGAGAGAGGATCATTGATTGGCTGCCTCCTGCAGGCCCCCTACTGGGGATCAAGCCGCAACTCAGGCATGTGCCCTTGGCCAGAATCGAACCTGGGACCCTTCAGTCCGCAGGCTGATGCTCTATCCATTGAGCCAAACTAGCTAGGGCTGGTCATCACCATTTAAAGTTGAACATGTGCACACCCTACCACCACGCACCAAGAAACATGTAGAAAGATGTTTATAGTATCAATGTTTTTAAATAAGGCAGGAAAGTAGAATGGGTGGTAGAGAGAATGGGGAGAAGGAGAGGAAGAAATAAATAAACCAACAATTCAGCAACAGGAGAATGGATACATCATGGTGTATTCCTAAAAAGAAACTGTATGTAACAGTGAAAAAGAGATCTACAGCTATATGCAAACATGAGGAATCTGAGAAATTTAATGTTCAGAGAAATTTAAGATTACACTCAGTATAATATACTTTTATAGTTCAAAAATAAGCAAAGTTATACAATATATTATGTATATAATAAACATTTTTTTAATCAAAACTGATAAATATACAACTGAAGGTAGTGGTTAACTAGAAGTGAAAAGGGTCAGCATATGGAGAGGTATAGCAAGGTAGCCTCAAAAGTAATAATGTTCTGGTTCTTAAATTGTGTGATGGGTTCATGTGAGATTATTTAAAATTATTCTTCAGCACTTATATATATTGTAGATATCAAATATTATAAAATATGAATATTCCCCTAATTTGTCAGGATATTAATAACATAAATTTCAAAGATCTAAAAATAGGTTACTTAGCCTTGGCCAGGTGGCTCAGTTGGTTGGAGCATCGTCCTGTACACCAAAAAGGTTGCAGGTTCAACTCCCAGTCAAGGCACATACCTAGGTTGTGGGTTTGATCCCCAGCTGGGGCATGTATGGGAGGCCATGGATCAATGTTTCTCTCTGACACTGATGTCTCTCTCTTTCTCCCCCCTAACCCACTTCTGAAATCAATAAAAATATATCCTCGGGTGAGGATTAAAAAAAATAAATATAAATATGCTATTTAAAATAGTAAAAACTCAGACACCAATATAATTCATATTTCCAAATGATAATTAAAACAGTAAGAATGTCTTCCTTGATGGTGTTTATCTTTTTAAAAATTCCCTGCATATGATAAGACTATAACACATTTATTTTCTTCGACAGTAAGAATGTATTTAGCCCTAACCGGTTTGGCTCAGTGGCTAGAGCGTCAGCCTGCGGACTCAAGGGTCCCAGGTTCGATTCCAGTCAAGGGCATGTACCTTGGTTGCGGGCACATCCCCAGTAGGGAGTGTGCAGGAGACAGCGGGTCAATGTTTCTCTCTCATCGATGTTTCTAACTCTCTATCCCTCTCCCTTCCTCTCTGTAAAAAATAAAATATATTTTTTAAAAAAAAGAATGTATTTAGAGTCATTATGACTTAAAGATTAATGTTGGAATATATTTTAAGTTTACCATAATAAAAGTTCTCTAGGTTAAATAGTAGATAAACAATTTTTCAAAATAATGAAGAAAAATTAATTTCTAAAAAGGAAATCACCCAGCTTACTTGCTTTTTCTTTTGTGAATTAGGTGTAGAACATCATTATTAGATTTTTTGAGGAGGAACACTGCAGTAAAGTGAGCTACGGGGCATGGTTTGAGCACCTGAATATTTTAAATAAAATGGCTTAAATAAAATAACTCAGTAAGAGAGAGTGAGCTATAAGAATTTACAGCTGAAATAAATGTAGTACAGAGAGTCCTCGGGTTACGCCAGACTCAACATACGTCGTTTCATGGTTACATCGCCATCTCCCATTTATTCATAAAAAAAAAAAAGTTCCGTCATTTCGACATATGTACATATGTGCTTTATGTTTTTATTATTTATTTACCACAAGTAAAGGTCAGGAAATGTTATCTTTCTTTTAAATTTTTTTTACTGTTTCACTTCATTACTGCTGTGTATGTGCTCCATGTGAGTGACGTAGGTGCTTATGTAGGCGGGTTCCGACTTATGGCGAAAATCGCGTTAAGTCGCGCCGTAGGAACGGATTTCCAACGTAACCCGAGGACCTACTGTACTTTTTCAGTCCTTCCCACACATTCTTGTCATAAAAATTATTTTAAAATATCAGTCTCCATACTAAAATATGTACACATTATAAAAATTCCTTACTTTTTCATTCTAAAGTATGCCGATGCTCTGTTTGTTGGCAACACGGGATTATATGGATCGGCATTCATGCCTTTAGTGTAGCATTCAATTGCTTCATCATATTTTCCTTGTTTGAAATACTTATTGCCCTGAAAAAAGCATACAAGTCAGATATATACTGGCACAGAATTACAGAGCCATTTTTTGCCAATATTATCCAGCTCTTTATAATTAATTAGCAGTGTGATCAAGGTCAACAGAAAGAAATGAGAATAAAACAAAATAATCTTTTTGCAAGTGCTGAAATTCGCTATACAGTCATAGTTTGGTCACAGTCTGAGGGTTCTGGCAGAAAAATGAATAAAATACTTAGCATTATATATTTTTATTGACAATAATAACCCGCAGAAATGTAAACAAAAAAAAGATCAAGATGAAGTTTAAAAAGTGCCATCTTTTTGAAAAGCAATATACCTAGTTTTATAATAATGAGGCACTCCTCAGAAAGATGAACATTCCAAAAAGTAAGCACAGATGGCCTGTGATATGGAGACGTGAAATATAATATTCACATCAAGAGTCACACACTAATTTTAAGTTACTTCAGTCTATTACTAAAATCCCAGAACAATTCTCTTTATGGTCTAAGCACTTTACATATGAGAATTAATTTAATATTCACAACAATCCATTGAGGTTTATTAATAATATTAATCTTATTTTACAGTTGAGAAAATTTAATACAAGGTATTTAAAGAACTTATCACAGGATTTGAACCTAGGCAATCTGATTTTAGAAAACACACTCCTAATCACTAAATTATACAGCCTTCCAATAAGGGTACAGCCAATAACAACTTAGAGAGTGAACACCCCCTAAACTATGTTGAAGAAATCCTGGGATCCACATGATTTTCTATACGTCCTGCCCACCTGAAGAAACCTAAAGCTAAGCCGAAGAGTACCTTTTCTTTTAGAGCAAGGGCCTTTTGTGAATCTACATGAATTCCATCTTCTTCTGACTCTGATTCTTGAGACACAGAATCATGGGTACTCTCTTCTTTGTCAAGTTCATCAAGGATACTTTCCTGAAATTATAAGTAGAGGAACAGTGCTCATAATTACATAAACATAAAAAAAAGACATACAAAAAAAAAAGTATACTCAACAGAACTTAAGTTGCTATGATCTAAGGACCTAAAGGTCTATACTAGTAAAAGCAAACCAAATAATCTCTCATTGTTTAGAGAAAAAGGTACTCTTGTTTAGAAAACCAAGATCCAAACCACTTAAAGAATTTGACTTTGATTTCATAAAGTAAGCTAAGTCAAAAGAAGTCTACAAAGCACCTCTAAATCACAAACTATTAGCAGTGAAGTATTATGGGTTGATGGAAGTGAAGTTTGCAAATAACCCCAAACCTAATATCAACCAACAGCAAAGTCAAGGGCTTGGGTTCAGTCAAGGTTATGGGCCTGGGCTGCAGGATTTGTGTGAGAAGCAACCAATTGATGTCTCTCTCACATCAATGTTTTTCGCTCTTCTTCTTCCTCCCCTCCTTCTCCCTCCCTCTCCTGTCCTTTCACAGTCTCAAAAAAAAAAAAAAAAAAAAAACCCATGGAAAAAATGTCCTTGGGTGAGGATTAACAAAAACAAACAAACAAATTTGTGATATATTCACACAGTGAAATTCTGATCAGCATTAAAAAGAACAAACTACTGCTACTGACATTACAGATCAATCTCAGATGACACTAACAAAAGAAGCCAGACACAAAAAGAGTACATATGCATGATACATTTACATGAAATTCCCAAACTGGCAAAACTGATCTATAATATTAGAGACCACAATAGTGGCTGCCCTTGGAGGTAATTTACTGAACAGGGAGGCTGGTGGCATGCTGGAAACGTTCTGTATCTTGATCTAGATGGTGGTTTCTCAGGTAAATTCATGATTAAAAATTCAGGCAGCTGCACATGTAAGGTTTTTGGACTGTATGTATGTTATATCTCAATAAAAACAGGAAAGTGCAAAGAAAACAATAAACATAAAAATCAGAGTAGTGGTAATGTCTGGGGGTAAAGAGAGAAAAGATGGAATAGGGAAGGAGCAAACTGGCAGCTTCAACTGGATTAGAAAAATTCTCTTTAAATTAGATGGTCGGTTCACATAGTACAAGGGACTTTTTCTGCTGAGTTGGGCTATTCTCAGACTGGTAACTAAGAAAGCACTTGTTCTTGACCAGTGTAATGTTGATGCCTACATTATTGCTACAGTTCATACATTCACCAAAGGAACTTCTGGTTTAGACACGGAGGGGCCAGAAAATCAAAGTGCAATAATTTTCTGAGCTACCATCAGCTGACTCTTCATCAACAGAAGTCTGACTGGTTTCTCTTCTGCCTTTCAACTTCTTTCCCAGCACCAGGTTTGTTTCTTTACAGGGTGGGGGCAAAAAGTAGATTCGGAGTTTTGAGTATACAAAAGTTTTACTCTTGAGTTTTATTAAATTATACATACAACTGGGAAACCTATTTTTGTCCCCGGTCCTGTATTTATTTTATTATGATTTTAGATCATGTATCTCCCATGCTCTTTTGTTTAATTCAAATATTACTTAATATACTCTTTTTTTTTCT